CAAACCGCAACGTATGGAAAACCAGAAGAAACGGCAGGAAGCAGGTAGGAAACCGCAGGCAAACCGCAACAGACCACAACAAACATGTGGAAAACAATGGGAAACGACCGGAAACTGTCGGAACCACTAGGAAACTGCAGGAAACCGTCGGAAACCAGACCGGAAACCATCGGAAAAGCAAATCTTAGCCCCCTTTCTTGGAGACTCACAAACCTTTGGGGAACTCTGATAGCGAAGCCGAGGCCGACAGAAGTTTTCGCGTGAGACCTTACCTACACAGCAGGACGCTTCTGACTAGAGCATACCCCCATAATCAAGCTTAAAAATGGCCCAGAACCTGTAATGCGGGCCCGAAATGCGACCATGTTCTTAGGTTAAAAGGCTCCAAAAACGGGTAACTCCAAGGCCTCGCGGATGGAGAACGCGACCAATACAAGGCGGTCGCCTGTCCAATCCAAGGTGCAATGCCTCGAAGAAGCTGCCGGTAGAAGAACTGGTCCGCGCGCCACATCCAGAAGGCGTCCTCGACCAGGTACTCCATCGCACTGAAGAAGATGATCTCCTCCATCATCTTCACACCAGATCGCACCCTTCTCGAAGTGAGCCACGGGGACAACCAGGTTATAGGAGTCGGGGAAGTTATTGGCATCTCGATGACAAGGAGTTTTCAAATTGCGAAAGAGCGCCACACTCGTGAAGGAGAAAGACGGAGAAATGGCCTGGACATGCCTGGCAAGGAGGGCTGAGGTAATCGGGAAGGAGGAAAGATTGCGGCGAAGTCCAACCTCGCCGCCGAAGGAGTAGGCACCTGTAGTGAAGGAGCCCGACTTCCCGATACCCACGCCCCTGGCCGGGGGTTCAAGCGGCAAAAGGGAGAAAAGACGGCGAAGACTGTCGTAGGACAGGTCGTCCTCCGCCATCAATGCACTTGCGAATTCTTCTGGGGATGTACCCCCAGTCCTCTCTGTCACCACATCTCCGGTCTGGTGACCTAGTCACTCCTTGTGACGACACTCTGGATAAGCGAATGGCCGATGGCAACCGTCTTTCCAGCAGACGTGGAAGCCATTGGAGCATCGGCCCCCCTTGGCCGTCTTGACCTTGCATCGTCCCACATTGAACTTCTTGCAAATGGGCTTGCCGCCGTTGAACACGATGGTACAGCCTTCTGGGACCACGATGGGAGAGTAGCCCGGATTGTCCGTCTTCTTGGTCTGTGCCTGCTGGGTCATTGTTGATCAGACGGAGGTTCCTTACCGCTGCCTGCCGCTCCCCCCGCCTTGAGCGGCATCAGATGGAAGAGGACGTCCGGATGGTCCGTGTAGTAGTTCATGTGAGACTCGCATAGTCTCAGGGCCGGCTGGTCAGGGTCCATCTCCGTGAGCTTCGCCCTGGTGTCCTCCGCGACGAGCAGCCACAGCGCCTTGTCCGCAGCCACCAGTTGATGTAAGGAAGTAGCCAAGTACCCAGGAGGTGGTACATGATGAAATCGATCGAACAGCGACTGGTGCCACTTCTCCATAACGTTGAAGCTGAACAGATTGGCCACGTCATAGGCGAGAGCTCGCCTCTGAAGAGCCACCCTCAAGAGGTGAGCGCTGCTTGTATCACACTCTATATCGTGTGATGCCTTACTTACTTTGATGGACCCTTTGGAATCGAATGACAAAGAAGTCTGAGGCTTCTCCGAGAGGGCCTCAGAGTGTCGCGAGGAGCACTTGTTGGGATGGATCCACTGAAGAGACCCCTCCTCCAACTGCGAGCACGCCTTGTCTATTAAGGCGTGGCTGGGAGTATTGTGAGGGGTGAGCACTACCCCCACAAGACGATCTTTCTGCCTTGTAAGCCGGGCCATCTTCTCCTGGAGCGGAAGAACCTTTGGCTCGTGCTCGGCTGGGCTCTCGAGCTTGGTTTTCAAGTCCTGGAGGGCCAGCGCCTGGGCCTCAAAGGCCAGGCGCCTAAGACCCGCCACTGCAGTTGGAGTCAATGCATGAGTAAGCAGCCCGTTAACATGGTTCATCAAGGCAGCATCATCGATGCCTGCGTTCGCCTGATGCGGAGTGCAAAAGGCTAGGCCAGCGAATGTGGTTATTCCCCCATCGTACATCTCCTGAACGACATTCTCAGTCAGGCCGCACGACAAGCATCTGGATCTGAATGAAGCTTCACTATCGAGCACCATGTTGGTTTGGTATTGGGGAGCCTACCTTGCAAGCCAACACTTCAATCGGAGCTGCAGGCACGACCCTCGATCGCAAGCCAAAGATGCAGATCCGAAGTCGGCGCTTACGCGCTGCGCAGTCGTCCTGTCTTGATCATGCGTCCTGAGCCCTGCTGCACTGCACACAAAAGAAACTCTGGACTCGATCCAAACTGACAGGTTCTACCTGTTCAAAATTACACGAGACTACTCTGCCGCACCTCAAACGATGACCGCGGGAGTCGAAACCAGGCATAGTCCCCGGCCTCAGCCGGGAGAGGTTCTCTCTGAACCTCGATTACTTCCTTAGGTTCTGCCTCCTCGTCATCATCGGACGAAGAGCTCTGATTCGCATCTTGCATGTGTTGCTCTTCAGCCGACTCAACCTGACTCTCCCGATTGTCTTGACTCGATCCCGCCATGGCCTTAAGGCGAGCCGCCGGAGGATCGTCCGGACGATATGAACCTACTGCGATCATCTCTATCATCTTTGAGCACCTTTGCTTGGAGAGCTAGCATGGTGTTGTGATCGTAGGTGGTAGCGGACTTCGTCGCCGCCTCAACATGGTGTCCTAACATGGTCCTCTCTTCCCTCGTGAAGAGGCCGGACCCCCCCGCCCAGGTGAGCAGAGTGTGCTTGCAGGAGTGTGATCTAAGCTTCTGGGCCGCTTCCGGCCCCACCACTGGCTCCGCAAACTCTCTCAACCAGGCGGTAGCTTCGGACGAACTCATGAGCCACGGATTCCAAGTAGAACTGCGATGGTTCCAAGAGCGCAACCCCTGATCTATAAGCCTGCCGCGATCTGGTTGTCGACCACGGTGCTGATCCAATTCCCGAAGCCCGGCCAGTATCCTAGGCCTAAAAAGGGTAACAAACGGGTCTTGGCCTCCTTGGTCTGAGCGGTTTTATGATCTGTAGTCCACATGGTCCACAACACCGTGCCCTCAAACTCATCTATCTCGAGACCCCCGGCACTCCTGAAGTCGCTCCATCTTCCAACCCCAAAAACACACTTCAAGAGTTGACCTGCGATCATCGACACGTGGGGCTCTTCTGCTGGGTCTCCTGCATGTCCAACCAGTTTCTTCACGACGTCCACCGGGATGGCTGGAGCCTGCGACCTTGCCTTCTTCTGAACAAACATGGAGTGCGCTGCTCCCTTTACCCTGGGGGAATCAAGCTCGGCAAGAGTGACTTTAAGGAATCCAAACATGCCGTGGGCAAATCTCATCGCCTCCAAAAGTACGGACGCCGTACTGGTGCACTTTTCCTTCTTAAGCTTCTGCAAATACAAATAGAGGTTAGCCTCGTCAGCCGCAAACGGTGAAGTGACCCCCCGACCCGCCAAAAATGCAGCATACCTCCACAGAGAGCCAGACCTCTTGACTAGCGTCGACTTGGGGGACAAAATGTCCTTGAGCGTTTCGATGGCCCTAGCTTCGTCACTGCAAAGCCCCGCTATATCCGTCATCTGTCGCCCTGCTCTAGTGGCCATTGGATCCAATAGAATCAGCACCTTGAAGCGATGCAATGCTCTAGCCCTATCATCCTCCGGTTGCCCCGCCCTCACCGATCTCAATCTCGCTTGGTTGATTGATATTGGTTTCGGAGGCTCGATATCATGAGTGATGTTCCGGGGAGGTATGGGTGCAGGCAGCCGAGTCATCGACAAAGGGCGGTAGGGCCCCCACTGCCCACCAAATAGAGAAGCTAATGGTCCCCTCTCCCAAGGCACGGTGATCTTGACGGGGATCGTAGACTCTATTGCTCCTCGTATGTCCAAAGGCAAGGTTTGTATCTGTCCTGACGCGGCTGTTCCACTCAGCCTAGGCAACTTGGTCGCCGGTTGTGAATCGGTAATTCCTCGAGCTGTGTCGCTACATTCCGAAGCTGCTTCAACCTCGATCCAGGAAGATCCCGACGCTATCGCTGATTGATTGGAACCGTCGATGCCTTCCTCTAGTTGCCGATCACTGCCCTCGGGTTCTGGATCATCGGATAACGCTGTAGCCCACCTCTTACGGAATCCACTGAGGTTGTGATACCACGGATCGAGGTCCATCCCAATTGCCCCCCCGTGTTTGGGGGCGAAAGCAAAATCAATCAGACCCCCCCCCAGTTTGGGGGAAAAGCAAAGAGGGACCTAAGCGCTACCAAGAAACGTGTAACATGTGCACACAACGACACAGACCGTCACCAAGCCGCTGTCCTGCCTGCCTCCCGCCTATAATCTTGGCCACGAAGATGTCGATGGTCCTGGCAGGTGCATTATTGTGGGAAGGGAGCAACAGGCTTCGGGCGGCCTGCCGAGTGAGAGCAGCTATCGGACCAGACGTGGATGAGACGACCTCCAGGTTAGGTAATTATGCCGGCTCCCAACCAGTGACTGTCGCGGCCTCCAGTAAGGCAGCTGCAATGACCTGGTTTGTCCAGGGATTATTCAGCATCTCGCGAAGCCCCGGTTCGCCGAGACCGGGTCCGGTAGTGACTCTGCTCCCTGGAGGACAGGCCAACCTGAGTGGCTTTCGCGAGGTGCTCAAGGACTCTCCAGAATGAGTCCGCGGCTTCCAGTTGGGACCTGGCACCAGACGGTCGAGCACCACGGGTTGCTCACCGGTGCAGTTTTCTGACTGGCCTCCAGGTAGGCAGTCTGAGTTCCTGACAGGTGCAACGATTTAGGGAAGCTGTCGAAGGGTCTATCTCGGAGCCTCCAGTCTGGCCCGAGAGCTTCCCCCTGCCAATCGATTGAGTGCCAGGCTCGTTAGGCTGAACCCCCGAAAAGAAACGAGCCTGCTGGGAGAAAAAGAAGAAGCCCTGGCCAGCATGAAGAACCTGGAGGGTTGCGCCCGGCCAAAATTTATACCTGGTCTTTTTTCCCCCGGTAACACGAATTAG